AGAGACCAGTGTAAATCCTTTCGTTTGGAACCTGTTTGAGCCCAGAGCCCCAAAACAAAAACATGGCAGGGAGCCGCGTGTGGGCAAGCAACTATTGTTACTCCACCCTGCCGGGCGTTGCTTGTTGCCACACCTAAATCCGGATAGACGGCATTACTGTGCGTATCGTTTGTAATGAGGCCAGTGGCCGGAGACAGTAGGCCAGTGGCCGGAGACCATACACATCAAGCACTGGGCGACTTGCCTATCAGCTTACCTGCCAGGTTCGTCCTAACGCGCACAATTCAATATTCCGGAATCAGAGGGAAACATAAGCACATGAACGTAACAATCAGATCAGGTGTCCGAGTTCTTAGCCCCTAACATGTCACCTTCCCTTTCCCTCAAAAACGATAGCCTCGCAATACCGAGGAACTTCACGTAACATGGGAATGCTGCAGCTAGCCAGCTCTCAACTTGCGCCCTCACGAAAGTCAGTTTACGTCGTTTCGCTGCTTTTGGACGCACCATTGCACAATTCTATGGCAAGTTGCTTGTTCATCGTCGGTGCATCTCTTCATGTCTCACTGCTTTCCACTCTCATTCTTAGTCTTGGAGGGGTGCACATGCAAGCCTAAGTGTGGTCCGTTGATGAGGGGCGCGCCACTTGTGTTGCGAGTTGTGTGTAATGCTAGAAGCATCGCTCCAAATGAGGAACTTCCAACTGTGCCTTGAGTTTGGCGCGCCAAACCCAAGGTCCACATTTGCTCGGAGTTGCCCTCGATACCGCGGCCGTCGCGGGATGACCCGGCTGTCACGGATGGTATCGTCGTACCCCTGGAGGCATCAACCAGTGAAGCTAGTGTAGGGATATAGGAGTCATATTACTAGGGATAATCGAAAGAAAGCGGAACCTACTATATTATAGCAGATGTTGCTATGCTCTTGCCGGTTTTTAGCATCCGTACCCATCGTAGGGCTGTCGGCATGTTCCATTCCTGCTGCCTGCTGTGGGTGTTTCTCAATTGAAATGTCTGCCATGCAATTCCCAGAAGGATCCAACAGGACCATACGGGACCCCTTAAGCTCTGAACTCCCGCATGAATCCCCAGGGTCCCCAAAGTATCCTTGAAAAGCTCCCATGTGGATCCAGGGGAGACTTCTTCACGGCTGCGACACGGCCATGCCCATCAAGTCGCCGCCTCCGATCGGAACGCGGACTGTGATTGCTCTTGTTTTTTCCGTTGGAATAGTGAGGTTTCGGGGTTGGGGTTTAGCTCTACAAGGAGCAGAAGGTCTGCTTGAGATGCAGCAATTAAGCCTTTTGACCAGCATGCAGGGGAGCAGAATGCTTGTCATGGCGCTTTCTCATGCACATGCATACTTCTGTAGCATGTTAAGTTAAAACGCTTCCAGAAGCCCGACTTTGCACCGCTGTCATGCCTGGGGCGTGGATTTCTCCAATGAACGATCCCGATGCCTGGAAGAACACAGATTTGAAAACACGACGTGGAGTTCCAGGCGCACGATGACGCTGGTCTGGCTAGGCTGAACAAAGTTGAGCCCC